CTTGAATGCAGATTAGTTAGCACCTGGACCATGTGGTGGAGGATCTGGAATGCTAGAAAACTTATTATTTATCCATTAATATGTTTTGACTGGAAGAGTTTCAGGAGGAGTTTCAGGGAGATTGATCTGGTGTCATAATGTAGACAGATTAAAATGGGGAAAAAACAGTATTTAGAGGCACCAGTTACTCCGGGTGTGTTAGTGTGTCTCAAATTTTACACACAAAAAATAGCTAGTATTAGTAAGTCAGCCAACAAATATTGATTGAATACCCACTCTGTGCTGGACAATGGGCATATAATCCTGTCTTCATGATTAAGGTCTGGCTTATGTAATGCTTTGGATTGAGTTGGTTAGGTAACTGAGTACTAAATGCATTAAAAAAAAACTAAAGGTGGCCGGGCGCGGTGGCTCAAGCCTGTAATCCCAGCACTTTGGGAGGCCGAGATGGGCGGATCACGAGGTCAGGAGATCGAGACCATCCTGGCTAACACGGTGAAACCCCGTCTCTACTAAAAAAATACAAAAAAAAAAAAAAATAGCCGGGCGAGGTGGCGGGCGCCTGTAGTCCCAGCTACTCGGGAGGCTGAGGCAGGAGAATGGCGTAAACCTGGTAGGCGGAGATCCGGCCACTGCACTCCAGCCTCAGCGACAGAGTGAGACTCTGTCTCAAAAAAAAAAAAAAAAAAAAAAAGGTAATGGCAACAATAAAATAATCTTTGATTTCCCTCCTCCCTCTATTTTCTCCGAAAAAAGCTCTTGCCCCAAAGTTAAGTGGTTCTTGTTCTCATCCTGCTTTTGCAATTAGTGTTATATATAAATTGAACAGTTTACTTAATCGTTCTGTGTCTCATTTTTCCTACTTAAAAAATAAACATCATACTGAACCATGACTTCATAGCACAAGGTATTGTGATGAGACAATTTATAGGAGACTTTTTTGGTTTCCTGAGAAGTATTGTAAGAGCTCATAATGGTGTTAATATAAAATTACTTTTAAAACCTTCACTTCTTGAAACTTTAAAAATTTCAATACCCTAGTGCATTTTAGTCATTTTTCTAATTATAATTACATTGAAAGGGGGGAAAAAATCCAGCCATCTGTGGCACTTGTTCTCCTTCCCTAGAGGTAGAGCTAGAGAAGATAATGATTTATTTGAGATGTTGTTATTCTCACTCTGGTAGACAATGGATGGTGGTTGCTCTTTGTGGCTTTAAGGCCCATCTGCTGATGGGTGCAATTTTATTAGGCAAAACTATGTGGGTGAATGTGTCCATGGTAGTTGTAGATAATAGTAGAGAGAAGAATGAGAGAATATTTTTGTTTTTTTAGGGGAAAGGAATAGGATGTGAGCTGTGTGAATTTGTTATAGCCAAAGATAGCAAACCAAAGAGAACCACCCCCATATTCTGTGTGTAGGTGATGCATCCCCATGGCTAGTTAATGCTAAGCCATCTTTGACTTTCTATGACCGTATGACCCTGTAAGTGACTGTAGAATAGAGGACCTAGTTGTTTTTTGTTTGTTTGTTTGTTTTTTGTGGGGGGGCTCGCTCTGTCACCCAGGCTGGAGTGCACTGGCGCAATCTCAGCTCACTGCAACCTCCACCTCCCGGGTTCAAGCAGTTCTTCTGCCTCAGCCTCCCAAGTAGCTGGGACTACAGGCATGTGCCACCATGCCCAGCTACTTTTTTTTTTTTTTTTGTATTTTTGGTAGAGACAGGGTTTCATCATGTTGGTTAGGCTGGTCTCAAACTCCTGACCTCAAATGATCCACCCACCTTGACCTCCAACAGTCCTGGGATTACAGGTATGAGTCACCGCACCTGGCCGAGGACCAGTATTAATCTGAATGCAGTGTTTAAGCATTGCCTCTCTGACATAATTTCTCACAGTACCCCTTTCATAGCATTTATGAAACAGTATCATTACTGCCTGCTTCTTCTGTCTCCCTTATGGTTAGCAAAAGTAAGCATGACCATGGGTACTGGAGGAGACAAAAAGGCTAACACCGTTTTATTGAGGCTGGCACTGCATAGAAGAGTTGCAAGTTTCTGACTCTTCTGGTGGCATAAAGCTGTGGACCTGTGTGTTCTGTGAGGGCCTTGGATGTATGTGTGTGTGTGTGTGTTTGTGTGGGTGTGTGTGCATGCATAGGAGGTGGATGAGGAAGACATTGTGAAGAGTGGGAGGAGAACAGAGAAGATGAGAGAAGTGGAAAGTGCTTATTCTGCCTGCAGGTTGCTAGAAAGAAAACTGGTTAATACTGATGAATACAGATAATACTGCTTAGGTAGATTTCACTATTCCCTATATTATGAATAAGGGTATATAGCAACATCACTTTGTTTTTGAGTTGTTTTCTCCAAACTGGCTTTATTGAGAATGGTATCCTTCATAATGGACGATGCCTCAGATTAGAGGACCCTTTGGAGCATTTCTTCTTCTACCTAGAAGATTGCTTATCCTAGAACAATCCAGATAAAAATATATGTTGGCCAGGCATGGTGGCTCACGCCTGTAATCCCAGCACTTTGGTAGGCTGAGGCGGGTGGATCACTGGAGGTCAGGAGTTCAAGAACAACCTGGCCAACATGGTGAAACCCCATCTCTACTAAAAATACAAAAATTAGCTGGGCGTGTTGGCAGGTACCTGTAATCCCAGCTACTCAGGAGGCTGAGGCAGGAGAATCGCTTGAATCTGGGAGGCAGAGATTGCAGTGAGCCAAGATCGCACCATTACACTCTAGCCTGGGTGACAAGAGCGAAACTCAGTCTCAAAAAAAAAAAAAAAATGATATGTTAACATATATTCAAAAGAAACTTTGAATAGTGCCTGGCACATAATTAGCATTATAAAGGCATGTGCTGTTATTGGTATTCCATCCTGGTCATTTATTCATTCACCTGTTGAGTGTGTAGGCCCTGGGTTATTTGCTTTGGAAGACCAAAGGTGAATCAGACATAGATCCTGCCTTTAAGGAGAGTATATTTCAATCAGACAAAATAAGACAAGCAAATACATAAATATAATACAGTGAAGGAAATGGTTCATGCTCTCAAAAGTCTAGATGGAGCTTTAGGAGTGAGCAGCAAGAAACAGGAGAGGACTTCTGGAGGGGTTGGAGATACAAGCAAGACAGTAAGGAAGGCTTCATGGAGGAGGTGATATCTGTGTTGCATCTTGGAGGATGGGGAAAGTTCAAACATTTGCAGCAGGAGAAAGTGCCTTCCAGGTGAAGCGAATGGTGTGAACAAAGGTAGGAAAGAGTACATTTAGAAAACATAACTAGTTTGCTTTCCTAATTGAAGGCTGTGCATTCACTAGAATGTGTGTTTTGAGTCCTCTCCTCCCGAGTTCCCTTGCCCCATGTTTTTCATTGCTTTATACCCATCAATTAAATTTCAGCAGATTATAATAATCAGGGGCAGTTCCTAAATGGGTGTAAGTGGCTTTGTAATTATAGCTGCTGCTAAATGTGTAATCTGTCTGTTCATATAATTATTAAGGTTTTTATATTTATAAGCTGATTACTTCCTATTTGAAAACTTCTGTAATAGTATGCAAATAGGAGCCGGTCTAGGAACTTACTTTCCCTTGCAGTGTATAAGAAATCACCCAGCATCCTGACCCATGGCAGCTTTGTACCTCTCCAGAGAGTGCCATCGTCGATGGACTCAAAGTAGATTGAGAATGCCTTAGATCCTCTCAGCCTTACCCAGAATGGAAACATCACATCTGTTTTTTTGTTTTTTGTTTTTTGTCTCACTCTGTCACCCAGACTGGAGTGCAGTGGTGTGATCTCAGCTCACTGCAACTTCCACCTCCTGGGTTCAAGCGATTCTCCTGCCTGAGCCTCCCGAGTAGCTGGAATTACAGGTGCCCGCCACCACACCTGGAAAATTTATGTATTTTTAGTAGAGATGGGGTTTCACCATGTTGGCCAGGCTGGTCTCTAACTCCTGACCTCAAGTGATCCACCTGCCTCAGCCTCCCAAAATGCTGGGACTGCAGCAGTGATGATTAAAGGTATCTTAAGACATCAAGTTCTAAGTTAATAGGGATAGTTTCTTTAGATTGTCTTGCTCTGGAGCAGACTGATTATGTGTTTTCTTAATAAATGTTAAACTTGAAATAATCATCCAACAATGGGAGTTAATACTGAAAATCCATAGCACAAAAAGGTTGCAATAGGGCTTGACATAAACCCAATTGCAAGTAGCTGTAAAGCCCAGAACAATTAGTGACAATGGCATATGTGTTTAATAAATATTTCTTGAATGAACGTGTGAAGTATATTTCTTGAATGAATGCGTGAAATATATTTTCTTTGCAGGAGGACAACTATGGCTAGATCAAACCAAGACTAAGTACAACTCAACATTACAAAATGAGTATCTATAGCTGGGACTTTGAATTTCTTAAAATCTTATTATGAGCTGTATATCATATTTTAAAATAGTGCCTACTCTAGTGCATACTATGCTTACCTGCTTTAGTAAAACAATATAATATATATTGTTTTCTGAGACAATTATACTACAGAAAGTCTCTTGTTTAGATCATGAATCCAAGGCCAAGATACTCCTAGCCCCCTAGTGAATGCTTATCTGATCTGAAGATATGGTGTTGAAGAGATAATAGCTGGAATGTTACTCTTTTAAATCAGAGCAAATAATGTTTTCCCTGCCCTTCTGCTTTTGAACCATATAAGCATATAAACAGTGTCTTTAGCGTCAGAAATATCTCAAAAGAAAGAAAACCCTCTGAAAAAGTATAAAGCATTTTACAAGTGGGATTGCCAATGATTCTGTTTGTGGTAGATCATAAAGGTTCTTTTTTATGTTTTTCTCCTTTGTTTCTGATGTGGCTTATATCTGTAGCTCATAAAAATACAAAAGCAAGAAACTGATCTTTCAAGGTTTGCAAGCCTGCTAAGTGTCTTCAACATTGATGGCAAATGTCTGCAGTGTTTGGTTCTGTGTGTTTGCTCTTTCAGCTCTACGTTGCCACGGAGGCCATCCTCATTGCACTGGTTGGGGCCACGCCATCATACCACTGGGACCTGGCAGAGCTCCTGCCAAATCAGAGCCACGGTAACCAGTCAGCTGGTGAAGACCAGGCCTTTGGGGACTGGCTCCTGACAGCCAACGGCAGTGAGATCCATAAGCATGTGCATTTCAGCAGCAGCTTCACCTCCATTGCCTCAGAGGTAACAACAGGCTGTTCCAATCACTAAATAAATGTCTCTCTTTGTCCAGATGGAGCTACTCTTTTTGTCTTGCTGATTTAAATATCAGCCATATTTTCAAATAACTTTCCAGTAAATTGAAAAGTTAAAGGTTTTAATGTATCAAAGGAGAATATTCTATGAGAACACATTCCTTTCCTCTTACTACACATGGGAGAAGTGTGAATCTTTCCAAACTAGTTAGATGAAAAGATACAAGCTCCAAAAGAACAATATATTGATTATGTTGTCCTTTTAAAAAGTGAATTAAATCTTTAATCTCTCTTTATTAAATGTGCAAAAATTAACACAGAGAAATGTAACAATTCATATATAGCATCCATAGTTCTTTTTTTTTTTTTTGAGACAGAGTCTTGTTTTGTGGCCCAGGCTGGAGTGCAGTGGCACAATCTCGGTTTACTGCAACCTCTGCCTTCTGGGTTCAAGCAATTCTTCTGCCTCAGCTCCCAAGTAGCTGGGATTACAGGCACCCACCACCATGCCTGGCTAATTATTTTTTTGGAATTTTAGTAGAGAAGGTGTTTCACTGTGTTGACCAGGCTGCTCTTGAACTCTTGGCCTCAGGTGATCCACCCACCTTGGCCTCCCAGAGTGCTGGGATTACAGGCATGAACCACCGTGCCTGACCCATAGCTCATTTTTAAGTCCAGTCCTGTGTGTAGACCATATGGAGCACCTTGCCTGTACAATGTAAAACACAGATAGTACCGCCTAGTGTGGTCAGGAAGCCTTACTTTCAAGGGGGCTTTGCTGGCCAGAGAGACGTTTCTGGTCCTTCTGAGCCAGCCAGAGTTAAAGGATCTGAGGGTGGATGGTCTGGTGAAGAGAAACCCTGGGTGGGGGCAGATCTCATGGTCAGCTGGAAGGCACTGGTGTTGGTTGTTAAAATGTAGAAATACTCCCCTTTCCTTTGCCTGGTCCCCTTGAGCTACCCATGTGTCTGTTGGCATCCTGGCCCCATCCTTGGACCCTATGATCCAGTTAATGGGGTAAATGCCTGGTACAACAGGGGGCCTCTGGGACCCTTGCCAGCTCTCAGTTCTGGTTGCCATGCTAGTTAGCTCTCCCAAAATCCCTTGACCACTCCTTCCTGGAAGCCACTCTCCTGTGTGTCTGAGTGTGTGAGAGTATGTGTGTGTGTGTCCGCCTGTCTGTATGTCTGCACCATGGCCTAGCCAGCCTTACCTGTTGTTGACTATTTTGATAATCCTGCTTTGGATGCGGCATACTAAAAAAAGGGGAGACATGCCAAGGATGATGTTTTCTTGGCCTTTTTTTAGGAGTCCCCAGTGGAGTGCCCCACTCCTAAAAGTTACGAGACTAACTTTTTGAGTGACCACCAAAGCAGCATTTCTGACTGCAATTCCTGATGTTACTCTTCACTTAGAAACCTCCAGTGATGCTCCCACAGCACACAGAACACATTAGAGACCCTATGAGTTACATTCAGGACCCCTCACACTTCATAGCTTGGTCTAGGTGTACTTTTCCAGCCCCACTCTGCACTTTCCCCCGCTCTCACCCCAGTGGAAATATTTACTATTTCCCACACGTGCCCCGAGCTCTCAGCATAACCTGTTACTGTCAGAAAAACCCTCACCACTTGCCCTGACTTCCACCTGGTGAAATCCTTACCTACCCTCTAAGGCTCACTTTCAGTGTCACCTTCCCTGTGAGTCTTCCCAGCCAACTCCCCAGGAGTAAATATGCTTTTGTTTCTGTTCCAGTACCAATTTATTTTCACTTATGTTACAGACTGTTGTTTGTGGTTCAGCTCTAAGAGTTCTTTGAGGTCAGAAACCATGTTTTGGTCATCTTTGTATCTCCATGGCCTATAGCAGCCACCAGCACCACCACCACCACCACCACCATTGCCACCACTCCTAACCTGTTAAAATAACAAGCAGCTTTGTTTAATGATTATGATATGCCAGAGATTGTGATATACGTAAAATTTAATTATCAAAGTAATTCTTTGAGATAGGAATCATTTCCCCCATTTTACAGATTAAAAAAATGGAGATCCCTTGAGGTCAGTGTTAGCTAATAATGGCAGAGCTGAGATTTGAAGCTAAATTTGTCTTCACTCAGAAGCCTGTGCTCTTAATTATTGTGCTTTTTAGGAGTGTATCTTATCCAAATTGGCATGTACATTTCTTAGGTTCTTTTTGGTGAGTAATTATAGCCAAATAATTTTTAAAATCATAGCCAAATAATTTTTATTTGGCAATAATTTCAAATGAAAGAAATTGTGAGAATAGTGCAAAGAATCCCCTTATCTCTTTTAGTTTAATCTATTGTTACTAGTTTGCCTCATTAGCATTATTATTGTCTGTTTTTTCCTAAGCCATTTGAAAGTTGCATATATTAGTGTTCTTTTATGCCCAGATACTTCAGCGTGTATTTCCTAAAAATAGGATGTTCTCTTCATAACCACACTACAGTTATCAATGTCAAGAAATTCAACATTGATACTATAGTTTTATTTAAACTATACCTAGTTGTATGCCATCCGTACCTAATTTGTCAGTTAACCCAATGACATCCTTGATAGCATTATATTTTCCTCTCATGTATTGAATCCGATTCAGAATCACATATGACATTTAGTCTTATAGTTCTTTAGTATCTTTTGACCTTCAGCCTTTTTTTTCTTTTATAACACTCATATTATTAAAGCATCTATACCTCTTCTCTTTTTCAAAATAAGAATGTTCTTCATTTTGGATCTGTCTGATGATTCCTCATTTGGGTTGGTTTTGCATCCCAAGTCAGAATAGTACATAAATAATGTATCCCTCTCAGGGTATCACATCAAAAGACACACTATATCCATCTGCCCTTAGTGGTGATGTTAATTTTGATTAGCCATTCCAGGTATTGTCTGATATTCTCCCCGTCCCTGCCAGTTACTATCTTTTTTTCATTTCCAGGAATAGAGAACTATGGGGAATCACTTTCAGGTTATATAAATTTGCTGTTTCTTATTGCTGCAACCTCTGTCTCCTATGTTCAAGCAATTCTCCTGCCTCACCCTCCCAAGTAGCTGGGATTACAGGCACCTGCCACCGTGCCCTGCTAATTTTTGTCTTTTAATAGAGACAGGGTTTCACCATATTGGCCAGGCTGGTCTCGAACTCCTGACCTCAGGTGATCTCCCCTCCTTAGCCTCCCAAAGTGCTGGGATTATAGGTGTGAGCTACTGTACCTGGCCCAAAATGGTTATTTCTTAACTCCAGCACTTTCATCACATTTACTAGCTTTCGTACTTTCTACTGTAAGCAAGAGCCCTTTCTTCTCCCTTGTCTGTCTCTGTGCCTATTTGCCTATATATTTATCAACCATATGTATATACTCTTGGATTCCTATTCTTTTCAATGATTTGTAATTTATTACAGCTCTGAATTGTTTTGGAACTAAAATTTTTCCTAGTTTACCCATGGGAACCTCTTCAAGCTGCCTCTTGTGTCCTTTTATTTTTAATAAAAATTTTCATTTTGAAATAATTGTGGGTTTACATGCAGTTGCAAGAAATAATACAGAGAAATTTTGTGTACCCTTTACCTAGTTTCCCCCAATGGGGAAAACCATAGTATAATATCATAACTGAAATATTGACACTGACACTGCTAAGACACAAAACATTTCCATCACCACAAGGATCCTTCATGGCCTTTTAGAGCCACACCCACTTTCCTCCCATCCCTTACCCTTTTCTTAATCACTAGTAACCACTAATCTGCCCTCTTATACTATGAGTTTTTCATTTTAAGGATGTTGTAAAAATGGAATCATGTTGTAGAAGCCTTTTGAAATTGGCTTTTTTTATTCAGCATAATTATCTGCAGATTCATCTAGGCTTAGTTTTATTACTGTGGTTATATAAGCAGATTTGGAAAGGGATAGATTACCGCTTTATCTTGTTCAAAAAGTATTTTCATTATTTCAGTTCCTTTGCCTTTCCATATAAATTTTAGAATAATTTTGTCTATATCTACCAACAAATATTTTTGAGATTTCGATAGAAGTTGTGTTAAACCTGCATATAAATTTGGGGAGAATCAATATCTTTACTATGCTGAGTCTTCCAATACATCAATACTATGTGTTATTTTAAGTGTCTTTGATTTCTTTCATCAATGTTTCATATCTTTAGTATGCAAACCATGAACATGTTTTATTAGATTCCCATCTAAATATTTCTTTTTCTTTTTTTTGAGGGATTGTAAATGGTATTGTATTTTAAATTTCTGTTTCTACATGTTTATTGCTAGTATAGATAAATATTATACAAGTAATTTTGGTATGTTAATCTTGTATCCTTTGATCTTAATCTTGTGTTATTTCTTTTTGGGAAATTTTTAAATTATGAATTTAATTTCTTTAATAGTTATAGAGTGATTCAAATGATATATTTTGTATTGTATGAGTTGTGTACTTTGTGCTTTTCAAGGAGTTAGTCCATTTCATCTAAGTTGTTACTTATTAATTCTAGGTGCTTTTTGAAGATTCTTTGGGATTTTCTTGACAGTCATATAAAAAGTAAGGACAGTTTTATTTTTTTTTCTATTTCCAATCTGTATGCCTTTTGTTTCCTTACTGCTCTGGCTAGAATGTCTAGCACTGTGTTGAATAAAATGGTAGGAGTGGACATCCTTGCCTTGATTCTGGTCTTAGGAGGGATGCACTCAATCTTTCACCATTAAGTGCAGTGTTAGCTGTAGGTTTTTATAGATGCTCTTTATCAAATCAAGGAAGCTTCCCATAATTCCAATATTTTTTATGCCAATACCATGCTGTTTTGGTTACTATAGCTCTGTAGCAGAATTTGAATTCAAATAATGTGATTACTCCAGGTTTTTTGTTGTTGTTGTTGTTGCTCAGGATGGCTTTGGCTATTCTGGGTCTTTGGTGATTCCATATAAATTTTAGAAAGATTTTTTTTCTCTTTCTATGGAGAT